AGAAAGACAGGAGATTAAACTATAGAAACTCTTAAACAATGAGATCTGATCAGCTTCCAGGGCTAGTGAACACCCTGAGTTGATTGGAGGGTAGTGCACCAAGAGAGCACATAGAAACTGCGCTGCCTCCCACATTCCCATGCATCTCTTCCATTTAGCTGATCATGAGTTGTATCCTTTATAATAAAATCAGCAAGAGTAAGTAAACTGTTTTCCTGAGTTCTGTCAGCTAGGTTAACAAATTAGCTAACCTTAGGAGGAGGTTGAGGGAACCCCCAATTTATAGCAGGTGGTCAGAAATACAGGTGGCCCAGGACTTACAAATGGTGTCTAAAGTGGAAAGCAGTGTTGTAGGAATGGGCCCTTAAGCTGTTGGGTCTGCACTAGCTCCAGATATTTACTGTGAGAACTGAATTACACTGAACTGTTGAACACCCACTTGGTGTCCGGAGAATCAGAGAACTGGGTGCTGGTGCTGGAAAATATCCCAGAACGATTATTCACGTTAGCACTGTTTGAAACAGTAAATGATTAATAACAACAGAACTAGTTAATTTACTTATGGTACGTAATCGTATTTATGGGTATATCCATATAACTGTATACTACAAAGTTGAAAAAAAAATAAAATATTTACACGTAATCAAATCATAGATCTCTAAGTAATATTAAGTAAAAAAAGAAAAAAAAAGAAAAAAAAGAAAGAAAAGCCGGGTGTGGTGGCTCATGCCTGTAAACCCAGCACTCTGGGAGGCCGAGGCATGAAGTTAGGAGATCAAGACCATCCTGGCTAAAACAGTGAAACCCCGTCTCTACTAAAAATACGAAAAATTAGCTGAGTGTGGTGGCAGGCGCCTGTAGTCCCAGCTACTTGGGAGGCTAAGGCAGGAGAATGGCGTGAACCCAGGGGAGGCAGAGCTTGCAGTGAGCTGAGATCGTGCCACTGCACTCCAGCCTGGGCAACAGAGCGAGATTTCATCTCAAAAAAAAAAAAAAAAAAAAAAGGTACAAAAAAAAGAAAGATACAGTTCTGTGTAGAGAATGTCTGAGGAAGATACACGTTATCAGAATGTGCATCAAATTTCTTGAAAGATAAAGAATAAATTAATAACAATGGTTGTCCACAAGAATGGAAAGTGGGTGACTGGGAAATAAGAGAGGGGAGGATACCTCATTGTATATCTTTTGTGCCATTTAAATTTTAAAATATATGAACATATTTCTTATTCAAAAAATAAAATGTAAATTAAAATAACACCTTAAGACACAAAACAAAAACTACTGCTCTTTGGACAGAGGAATCAATTCTGACTTTCAAACTACTAACTTGGAAATAAATAAAAAGTTTTGTTGCGTACAGTGGTGGAGAAACCATTACTGGACTTGCCTATCAACCTGAAAAATACAACTTTTCAGTTATATAAATGAAACAACTGCTTTCAGACAACAGACAACAAGCAGTGAAGGACTATGATTTAAGAAAAAAGGAACATGCAACAATGAGAAAGAACTCCAGAAATCTGCACAGGCGTTCAACTGTAGTCTTTGGCTCAATACTATCATGGATGCATGAAGAGAGACTCTACAAAGGTGGGCCAAAAAGTAACTGTTGGTGAGCTGTTAGTTGACCAACTAATGGATCTTGCAAGAGACAGCGATACATCTAAGATCTGATCAAGCACAGAAGACAGACTTTGTTGTCATTTAATAGAGAACCCAGAAAAACCACTCCCTGGAAATAGGAACAAACTAGTCCTAGAATAAAAGCTACTTCAAACCTATCCTAACAAAGCTTAAAAACAAGGCTCAAAAGGGTCAAGCTGATCCACAACTTGCTCAACTATCTAACAAAACAAAACTCCATACTTTTAAAAAAAAAAATACAAACAGTTAAACTGTGGTATATCCATACAATAGGATAGAATATAGTAATAAAAAGGAACAAACTATTGATAAACACAACAATCTGTACAAACTTCAAAAAAATTATGCTGAGTGGAAAAGTCAATCTCAAAAGATACTACCTGCATAATATGATTCATGCAACAATTATGAAATAATCTAATTATGGAGATGGAGAACCAATTAATGGTTGTTAAGGATTACAGGCGGGGGAGGGGATGAACATGGCCATAAAGGGATAGCACAAAGGAGTCTGGTGATGCTACCACTGAGTATCTTTGATTGTAGGGATAATTACACAAGACTACCCATGAGACAAAATTGCACAGAATTACGCACAGGCACACACACATGCACGTACATGTAAAACTGATGAAGTCCACATAAACTCTATGCATTGTACCAATATCAATCTTGGTTTTGATGTTGTAGTATAGCTACACAAATTGTGAACACTGAGGGAGACTGGGGGAAAGATGTCCAGGACTTCCCAGTACAAACTCCTGTGAATCTACAATTGTTTTTAAATTAAAAGTTTTTTAAAAATCCAGACACAGGTGGTCACAGTGGCTCACACCTGTAGTCCCAGTATTTTGTGAGGGCAAGGTGGGAAGGATTGCTTGAGCCCAGGAGTTTGCAGTCAGCCTGGGCAATGTAGCAAGACTCCATCTCTAATTTAAAACAACAACAACAACAAAGAGACACTAAGTATTAATCAAAATGTGAAATATCCAATTAAAAACCACTAACTATTAAAAAAAAACCAAAGGGAAAAAAACCAAACCACTAACTATAAAGAAATGTGACAAAGAAGAAAATTAGTCCAAAAAAAAAAAAACTCAGAATGAGAGATAATGAAATCAGCAGACAAGGATTTAGTGTCTTTATATTGTAAATATGTTAAAAGAACTATAGGGAAAATATAAGCATAATAAGGAGAAACCAGAAACTGTAGAATGAGGGCAGGGGAGGGACAGGGAAGGGAGGAGAGAGGGAAAGGGACGAGAAGGGAGGAAATTTCCAGAATTGGAAAATGTAATTTCTAAAATGGAAAAAAAATATTATAAATATGTATCTCACTGGACTGACCTAAGAGGAGATGAGATACTGCAAGAAAGAGTATCAGTGAACTTGAAGACAGGGGAACAAAAACTATCTAACTTGATGTTCAGAGAGACAAAGAGTTTAAAAAAAAAACAAAAACAAAACCAGAGCCTCAGTAACCTATGAAACAGTAAATAAAAAGGGGAGAGGAGACAGGAAAAAAAAAAAAAATTTGATGAAATGATAAAAAAACTTCCAAATTGATAAAACTCTAAACACAAGTCTAAGAAGCTCAACAAACATCAAGAAAGATATACACAAAGAAAAACCCACAAGACACATCACAGTCACTGCTGAAAATCAGTGTTAAAGAGAAAATCTTAAAATCCATCAAAAAGAGACTGATAATATGCAGAATGACTGCTGATTTAACATTAGAAATAATGCAAGCAGGCCGGGTGTGGTGGCTCACGCCTGTAATCCTAGCACTTTGGGAGGCCAAGGCGGGCAGACTGCCTGAGCTCAGGAGTTCAAGACCAGCCTGGGCAACATGGTGAAAGCCCGTCTCTACCAAAATACAAAAAATTAGCTGGGCATGGTGGCATGCATCTGCAGTCCCAGCTACTTGGCAGGATGATGCAGAATTGCTTGAACCCAGGAGGCGAAGGTTGCAGTGAGCTGAGATCACGCCATTGCACTCCAACGTGGGCGAAAGAGCAAGACTCTGTCTCCAAAATAATAATAATAATAATAATAATAATGCAAGCTAGAAATTATTGGAGTAACTTTTTTAATGCTGAAAGAAAAACAATGTCAATCCAAATTCTACACTCAAAAAAGATCATTCAAAAACAAATTGTCAATGAAGAATGAAAAAGAAAACATCATTAGAGTACTGTAGATATTAAGAGTACTAAAGTAATATTATGAGCATAATGAAATTAAATTCAATTGCTTAGATAAAATAAACTCCTTAAAAGGGACAAATTATGAAAACTATCACAAAATATAGAAAATCTGAATAAGCCCCTTTCTACTGAATAAAATGAATTCACGATTTAAAGCCTTTCCACAAGGAAAATACCAGGGCCAGATGGTTCCCCTGATGTCCTATAAAACTATTTTAAGAAAAGAGGAGGGAAGAGTACTCAACTCATTTTATGTGGCTCACATTACCCTAATCCCAAAACCAAAGACAGACCAAAAAAAAAAAAGACTGATATTCCTTATGAACATAAACACAAAAATTAGAAAACTGAACAAAGTAATAAATAAAAAGGACAATACATCATAAGCAAAAGAAGTTGATTCCAGTAATAAGAGGCTGGTTTAACATTCTAAAATCATCAATGTAATTCACCACATTCAAAGGGGAGAAAAGCCACAAAATCATCTCATTAGGTACAGAAAAAGCATCTAACAAATTTTAGCACCCATTCATGATAAAACTCTCAACAAACTAGGAAGAGATAGGAACTTCCTTAACCCGATAAAATGCATCTACAAACTCCAGTTAACATCATACTTAAAGGTGAAAGACTGAATGCTTCTCCCCTAAGACTGGGAGTAAGGCAAAGATGTTCACACTTGCCACTTTTATGCAACTCTGTAACATTCAATATGATGTTACAGATACCATAACAAGCCAAGAAAAATAAATAAAAGAGACAGTTTGGAAATGGAGCAATAAAACGGCCTTTATTTACAGACAATATTATCTTCTATGTAGCAAATCCTAAGAAATCTACCCAAAATCTACTAGAATAAATGAGTTTAACACAAAGTAACATGATACGAGACTAACATACAAAAACAAAATAGTAGGGCTGGGAGTGGTGGCTCCCATCTATAATCCCAGTACTTTGGAAGGCCAAGACAGGAGGATCACTTGAGCCTATGAGTTTGAGAGAAGCCTAGGCAACATAGCAAGATCTTGTCTCTATGAAAAGTTTTAAAAATTAGCCAGGCATGGTGGTGTGTGGCTGTAATCCCAGTTACTCAGGAGGCTGAGGTGGGAGGATCTCTTGAGCACAGGAGATCAGGGCTTCAGTGAGCTATGATCATGCCGCTGCACTCCAGCTTGGGCGACAGAGCAAGACTCTGTCTCAAAAAAAAAAATAAAATAATATGTTGTGTATTAGCAGCCAACACTGTTAGATGAAATTTAAAAAACAATCTCATTTACAATAGCATTTTTATAGTACTTAAGAATCAAGATGTTCAATGCCTCTGGTGAAAACAATGAAACACTCTGAAGGAAACTAAAGACCACCTAAGTAAATGGAGAGAGGCATCATGTCCATGAATGTAAAGACTCCACAGTATTAGAATGTCAACTGTACCCAAATTAATCTACAGATTCAACATAATCTCAATCAAAATCCCAGCAAGTTTTATTGTAGAAACTGAGAAGGAACTCTAAAATGTATATGGGAATGCAAAGGACCTAGAATAGCAAAACAATTCTGAAAAAAAAGATGACTGACACTATTAGATTATAAGACATTATGCCAGTTATCAATTTATTGCCTCTGGGTTCCTCCTAATCTACACTTCACTGCCTTCTTGGACCCTGTAAACATTTCTCTTTTTGCCAGCTAGTGATACGCTTTGTCAACAGATGGCTCTGAAGTAGTACTTTTCTTTCTGGTTTCAGGGTGCCAGAGACATGCAAGTGATACACCCTGTGGTGCTCACCCTTCAGCAAAATTTGTTGCCAGTTTTGACTAGTGGTTCCCTACCCACCAATACTGGCCTACCAACCGTGGACCAGCTCTGGCCCAGGGAAGAAGTTCTCTGATGAGCTGCCACATCCTTGCCAGTAATTTCTGAATCCCAACTTTAAAGAAAGGATCCCTATCCAAATTTGTCTCTTTGGTAAATGTCTCTCAGCTCTAGGGTATTTTTTATAATTTTTTTTCCTTCATCCTCTTTTAGTTGCTAATCCCCAGAAATAGTAATTCTTTGTGTTTTTTTTTTACTGTGTAAAAACAGCATATTCTTTATTTTGCAGTCTTTAATTTCAGAACAAAATAAACAACAACAAAAAAACATGATACACAACATCCAATTCTGCTGTCAAAGTAGGGAGGGAATGGGGTTTGACGCCCTTGTTTCCTGCCTTAGACACAAGGATTGGAGAGAAAAAATTACTAGACATCAGCAGAGAGAGCCAGGTGGGACAGGACCACTCAAAGCTGCAGTGGGAGCCATGGGGCACAAGGTTTCCAAGTATAAACTCTTAATCTACTTCTTCCCTGTGAGACACATCCTCATCACCCCCAAGGGAGGTGGATCTCATCAGGAACAGCAACACTGAGTTCCTCTGTTGCCACCTCATCTTCATCAATAGCTAACCTAGCTTGATCATGGGGTAGATGCAGGTGGATGGGCCTGAGGATCCTCAAGGGAGAAGCCAGAAGAGAGCAGTGTGGTTTCAAACAGCAGCACCACTAGGTCATCGACAGCCTTGTTGTTCTTGTCTGCCTCAGCCTTCTGCTGCAGTGTCTCCACAATGGGGTGGTTGGGGTTGATCGCCAAGTGCTTTTTAGCCATTATACAACCCATGATAGAGTTGTCCCAAAGCGCCCGGGCTTTCATGATCCACTTCATATTGGCTATCGAGCCGTAGGTGCTGGTCACAATGTGGCAGGGTGAAGACACAAGTCTACTGGAGATTGTCACCTTCTCAACCTTCTTATCTAAGATTTCTTTCACGAGCCTGCAGAGGTTCTCAAACTTTACCTTGTTCTCCTCCATTTTCTTCTTCTCCTCATCCTCAGGTAGCTCCAGACCCTTCTTGGTAACTGAGACCAGGCTCTCCCCATCAAATTGCTTGAGCTGCTGCACACAGTACTCATCAATGGGCTCACTCATATATACTACCTCGAAGCCCTGCTTCCACACTTGCTCCACAAAAGCAGAGTTGGCCACCTGCTCTTTGCACTCACCAATGATGTCATTAATGGATTTCTGTGCCTCCTTCATGCAAGACACATACTCCGACAGAGATGTCATCTCATCTCCAGACTGGGAGGTGTGAGACCATAGCAGTTCAGAGAGGTGTCGCCAGTTAATGGAGTCCTCATGGATTCCAAGCCACGAGATTTTAGAGAATGCCTCATCTAATTTCTAGTTATTCTCCTAGTCTTCTGCCAGCCCAGAGAAGCTCAAGCCACTTCTTCTTCTTTTTTTTTTTTTTTTTTTTTTTTTTTT